GTTTTTTTTCTTCTAAACTTACCTGAATATGAATATAAATAGAAGTAATAAAGAGAAAAAATGTAGTCACATTATCCATTGTTTTAAGTATGACAATCTATAGCGAAAAACAAAATTAATTAGATTTATTTATTGAAACTTTTTCTAAAGTTGAGATTAACATAAATTTATATATGAAAATCCTTTCTTAAACAATCATTTTCTGTCTTTTATACACTTTTAAACATTTAGAAAATTCTTTCAAAATTATTGGATATAGTTATTCAATCAGCTATCATAAAAATGGAAAATAAGTATGCTCAAAACAGATACCTTTCGGATGTGATAAGAGTTAAAACAAAACTAAAACAGAATCGATTAGTTGAATATGGCATTTCTACTAAAGATAGTTATCAATGAATCGATAAGTAGTTCGAATGAAAAAATAAAATAAAATAAAAGAGAAGAACAAAAAAAAAGAAAAGATTGATTACCAATTGCCGCCTAAGTGTTGGCATAAATCTGACAAGTTTAAGTACACGTAATAATCTAAATTTACGTAAAACTGATAATCCACTATTTTTATTTCCTTGTAATTCAATAAGACTCATGATAACAATAGCACTATCAAATAAATTATAAGCATTTTTAATATATTGAAGATATCCATCAGTAATTATTTTTAAAATCATTTCAATAGCAAATAATGATGTAAATACTAAATTGCAATATTCTAATGCATTTGTTAATGATTGAGGTTGTTCATGATATTCAATACCCATTGATAATGTATTTATAACAATAGCTGACAATACAATACGACGAAAATATTTTTCTGCAACAAAATTTGATATAAATTTTTGAAATTTGTTCCAATAAGACCATATATATTTATTCATATATATTGACATTTTCGACTTTCTTTTTAGTTTATTGTCATCATCTTGTTCTTCATTAATAGTTAATTTTTCATTTTCAATATATTGACGATAACAATCACATTGATTTTCTTCAAGATATTTTTCTGTATTTTCAAAATCTAAATAATTTGATTTAATTGGTTGTTTATTAATCGATATAGTATTTAATAAAATCGATGGAATTGAACTACTATCTTGATCACAATAAAATGATGATGAATGTTGAATAATATCCATATTATCAAGATGAGCATTTGTTATGTATATTAAATCTAATATATAAGATTGTTCAGGACTAGCAGCTGGTGCATCACCTATTGATGGAGATAATGATGCTCCTGTTCGATATGATAAACTATCATCTATTTGATTATATCGACAATTCAATTGATGAATTATTTCTAGATTTGATAAGGAATATAAATTCGATTTGGAATGTCGATTTAAATGAATTTCAATTGTTCTGGATTTATCATTTACAAGTTCTTTTCGACGGGATTATTTTTTTTTACCAATTAAACGTTTTTCTTTAACCTATTAACAAATATATAAAAATCTAGAACGTATTTGATTGTTTCATTTCCTATGGAAAGTTTCGAATCTCTTCTTACTCTTTGCAAATATCTTAACCCTTTGAGGACGGAATTTTTTTTCAATCGAAAAATGGTTCTTCAGTCAGACTGTTGTATTTGGCTTCAAATGATGAGATAAAAACCTAATGATAATGCATTGAGAGAAGAGAGAGAGAAATCATGCGTCGGTATATAGTAGCAGGAAGAAAGGAGGACATCTGAGAAGATCTATATGTCAGGAAGAAAGAGAGAAAAGACCTGGATCAGGTGGCAGATAGGCGACCTATTTATCTTAAAGATTGTAACAGTTTAACATAGAACAAACATTTTCTGTACTGAAAAATAGGTGGTACAAATATCACCCATCCGTCCTCAAAGGGTTAATGTAATTATAGAATAACTACATTAATCATCATGATTGTTAAATATTAGACTGCTTGTCCACGTAACCCGACACTTCAATGATCAAGTTTCGAAAAGCTTTTTTTTTCGAGTTGGATAGATCTGAATAAGTAACTAGATGCAGTTTTGAACATTGATTACGAATTTGACATTTATTTTGTACAAAAATTAGATTTTGGCAGTGAAAACTGGGTTTTAAACTTTTTTAAAAATCGCATTTTGGGTTCTATAACCAAGAAATTTTTCCAAAAAAAATCGAGAAACATACCTTTCGATGCAGAATTTCATTCTCTACAAGTTAATCTATTTAGTTTTGACTTTTATGGCTAAGGAAAATTTGTAGACTCTTATACAGTTTCTAACTTATTACGTCTCTTGTAAGCTTCTTCCATGTCGATATATCGATCTTGTTCTTGCGTAGAACGATTAGTTATACAGAAAAGACGAACACTTATAAAAATGAAATCGTTCTGAGCATGTTAAGTAGCTCAAAATTGGTCGAGAAGAAACTATGTCACAGCGTTACATTTGGACAAGCCGTAGAGAAAATCTTTCGATTCTCTCCT